GACTAAAATGCGGGACGCTGAGGATAAAAACTTGTATTTGAGTCGGTGTGGCTCTTGGATGAAATAGGCACTTGTGAGCTATTCTTTGGTTCTTTCGGTAAAGTCACGTATAAAGATAAATTAATAAATTAAATAATAGCATACTACGACGCTTCGATTGCAACACACGCAATCATCATCAGGTATAAAAGGAATAGCAACAAAAATCTAACCATAAAACTATAGACAGACATACATACAAGCAGACAGATATCACACAGATACACAGAGAGAGAGAACACGCATCGGTACAGAGAGAGAGATCGTCTCTGTGACGAGGCCTTAAATAGAGAGAGGGGGGGGCGGGGGCGGAGAGAGGGAGGAGGCAGAGAAAAAATTAGCATGTCAATGAGTGGACGACAACGTGGTACGGTACGCAAGCTTGAAAATTAGGAGAAAGACACACTCAAATTAAATAACCTAGCAAAATATCGAAATGTAATGTAATGCAACACAGAGAGTCGGTCAACACACAATGAACGCATAGCCCGGTCGATTACGTATTTCAAAGATTGCTAAGTTAGAATTTAAGTGTGAAAATTCCAAAGAGAGGACACAGGCAGAGAGAGAAAACAAAAAACCCAGAGAGAGAGAAAAAAGATAATCTTTGCGAAGAGGTCACGACGCTGGTGCCGCGTGGTTCGCTACGCAGTAGCACTGTCTTAACGCATTCCACATTTGTTTTGTCTCGTGCGCACGTGCGGTGCCTGTGCGTCACACAGGAAGACGGCTGTCTAAGGAGTTTACAAAGGACGCAGCATGGAGGGCAACGATAGCGAAACCCTCGGTAGAAATTGGGACGGCACTTTCCCCACACTCCCCCCCGCCTTCGACATAAAGAGCATCTTGGGCAGTCTTTACGAGAGTGAGGGGAAGCCGGAACAAGGTCACCGTCAATCTAGGCAGGGCCAGGGGCCGTCACACCGTGGCCAGAGTCAGCCGGGCAAAGGTCGGGGACAAGTGAGGCCGTTCCAGGAGATATTGGCTCACGGGTGCAGCCAGACGGGACAAGATGAAGGTCAGTCTGGGCAAATCCAGGGGCCATCGATTGAAGGTTTGGGTAGCAAAGGGCAGCAGGGTCAGCCGGGAGAAGCCAACGGAGAGGCAATTAAAGGACATGAGCAGCCGGGGCAGGGGACAGATCGCGACGGAACAAAAACAACCCAATTGGGCCGAGCTCAGACTCGGCCAAAAGAGGGTCAACGTCAACCCGGGCCGAGCCCGGGACTGTCAGGTGACGTGCATGTTCTGGTGGGGCAAGGCCGAGGTCTACCTCGTCAGGGCCTGAGTCAGCCAAGGCAATCTCGCTGTCCGCCGGGCGAAGTCGAGCAGCAGTTAGGTCACACTTTGGGTCGACACGGACAAGGTCAAGTGGGTCGTGGAAGGGATCAACGCGGACATGGCAGCGGTGAAACTGGGCAGGCGCAGCAAGGTCAAGCTCAGAGGACACTATTTGAAGGTGAGTCAACTGGGGCATGGTCAAGTGACGCTGGCAAGGTCAAGGTTTTCGTTTCATCTGGAGGTCATCGCCGTGTGTCGCCTGGTCTTGTCTGTAAACGAATCGCGCCGCTAATTTTTCTTCTCGAAACGAGATCCCACTTCTTTGATGTCCACATTCATCGTGAGCTCGAAGTCTGCGGCGCTTTTCAACCGGCGTTTGACGTCAGAAACTACGGCACGGTGCTTTGTTTAGCTGTTGACGGTAATGATGGTAGCACTTGCCCCGATGCACGCGCGGACAATCCACGGTTGGAAACGTGCGTCGAAGAGTAATTTGGCTGATGTGAATTGGCACGTGATGGACCGCTTTGTTGAGCTGTCAACAAAGTGTGGCCAGGTGGCTTCTGAGAAAGAGCTATGTAGTCACGTGGGCTCTCACGTGGTAAAATAAAGAGTTTATCTTCTTGGTTCTTTTGGTAAAGTCACGTAGAAGGGAAATAATAAAATAATAAAAAATACAACATAACATCATTATTTTATTATGTTTTATTTTTATTATTTAGTCGAAGGGAAATAATAAAATAATACAATTTAAACATAATAACAATTGTTTTATTATGTTTTATTTTTATTATTTAGTAGAAGGGAGATAATAAAATAATAAAAATAACATCGTTTTTTATTATGTTTTATTATTTAGTAGAAGGAAAATAATAAAATAATACAATTTAAACATAATAACAATTGTTTTATTATGTTTTATTTTTATTATTTTGTAGAAGGGAAATAATAAAATAAATAACATCATTGTTTTATTATGTTTTATTTTTATTATTTGGTAGAAGGGAAATAATAAAATAATACATTTTAAACATAATACCAATTATTTTATTATGTTTTATTTTTATTATTTAGTAGAAGGGAAATAATAAAATAATAAAAATAAAACATAGCAATTATTTTATTATGTTTTATTTCCCTTCTACGTGACTTTACCGAAAGAACCAAGAAGATGAATCCCTGCAGTCACGAAAGCTTTAAATCGAAATAAAAAGTTTAGTTTCGTTTCGTTGGTGGCTTCCTTTAACACTGGCTTTTGTCTCCCAAGTTTTGGAAAAAAAATTGGGTCAGTTCGCTGATGTTCTACGGGGCAAGTCCCTTATATCAAAACGCACTTTTATTGAAGATTTATTCATGTTCGTGATACTCATCTTACACCCCGGCGGAGCTGAGCCCTTAACAGTTGGAAAGTTCTAAAAAGCAATATGTGTAAACGTGTACAATGTACATCTACTCATGTTCTTGGTTCTTTCGGTAAAGTCACGTAGAAGGGAAATAATAAAATAATAAAAATAAAACATTAAAATCATTCTCACTGTTTTTTGTTTATGTTCACGGATGCGGTACGAGACAGTCATTTTTAACAACACAGTCATTCTTGGAAAAGAAGATGAATCCCTGATTTAAATCGAAATATAATGTACATCTCGTGCAGTGCTCTTATGAACGATGCACTTGACTTAATTGTGCGAGAAATGTTGTTCGTAGCTCAAGCAACGACCAGTGAACAGCATCAACCTTCGCAGAGCGCGCTGCTGCTTGATGGGCGAAAGGCAAGACAGCACACTTGTCACATTGAAACATGTCCACACACACGCGTCGTTATTTCAGATTAACAACACAGTCATTCTGGGGAAATACTAATTTATCTTCTTGGTTCTTTCGGTAAAGTCACGTAGAAGGGAAATAATAAAATAATAAAATAAAACATTTAATAATTCTCACGACGTTTCGGCCACAACGCAAGCAGCCGTCCTCAGGTGAAGAACAGGTCTGTCGGAAAGACAGAGTCTGAATGAACACCACCAAGCTTGGCAGCGTATATTTAAGCTGCTGGGTTGGAGGGGGAAGGGCGCCTTGACAAAGGAATCTGCATATCAACAGAGGAATTTAGCTTAAATCAACAGAGGAATTTAGCTTAAATCAACAGAGGAATTTAGCTTAAATCAACAGAGGAATTCAGCTTAAATATACGCTGCCAATCTTGGTGGTGTTCATTCAGACGCTGTCTTTCCGACAGACCTGTTCTTCACCTGAGGACGGCTGCTTGCGTTGTGGCCGAAACGTCGTGAGAATTGTATTTTATTATGTTTTATTTTTATTATTTTATTATTTCCCTTCTACGCGACTTTACCGAAAGAACCAAGAAGATGAATCCCTGCAGTCACGAAAGAAGCTTTAAATCGAAATTTAATTTAAAAATAATAGGCACATGTCTAAAATGTGCCACCTCTGTCTACTCTGCAGTATGTATTGGTACAGCACAGTGACATGGCAGGCTGCATGAGGTGGGGTAAAGTGTGGGTACTGCCGTCTCTTCCAAGACGTCTGGGCGGAGTGGAAGAGTCAGCCTCTACTGAGGTTCTAGATTAGAAGCTTTCGTGACTGCAAGGATTCATACTCTTGGTTCTTTCGGTAAAGTCACGTGGGTAAAAAATGAAATTAAAATTAATAAAAATAAAACAATATTTTTATTAATTTTAAAGTCACGTCGGTAAAAAATGAAATTAAAATTAATAAAAATAAAACAATATTTTTATTAATTTTAAAGTCATGTAGGTAAAAAATGAAATTAAAATTAATAAAAATAAAACAATATTTTTATTAATTTTCAAGTCATGTAGGTAAAAAATGAAATTAAAATTAATAAAAATAAAACAATATTTTTATTAATTTTAAAGTCATGTAGGTAAAAAATGAAATTAAAATTAATAAAAATAAAACAATATTTTTATTAATTTTCAAGTCAAGTAGGAAAACAATGAAATTAAAATTCAGTTTAACACGTAGCAGGCTTTCGCGACCAATGTTATTCATAATCAACGTTTTTGGGTTTAGATCGCCGCGTTATTTATAAATGTGTCGTAACCCTCCACCACCCGACACGGCCAATCAGTAAAAATGTGTCACGTTGACAAAGACAAATAGTTACCTGCTTTAGCCCACCGGTGTGTTGAAGCCACAACATTTACAATTTGAGTACGACGTTTCGCTGGTAATTGCAACCAGCATCATCGGGCAATTCGCCAGAATGGTGAGGAGGCTCTGCTGTCTCCCGTTCTTATATAATGTTTTTATTAATTTTAAAGTCACGTAGGTTAAAAATGAAATTAAAATTAATAAAAATAAAATAATATTTTTATTAATTTTAAAGTCACGTAGGTAAAAAATGAAATTAAAATTTATAAAAATAAAACAATATTTTTATTAATTTTAATGAAATAAAAATTAATAAAAATAAAACAATCTTTTTATAAATTTTAAAGTCAGGTAGGTAAAAAATGAAATTAAATTTAATAAAAATAAAACAATATTTTTATAAATTTTAAAGTCAGGTAGGTAAACAATGAAATTAAAATTAATAAAAATAAAACAATCTTTTTATTAATTTTAAAGGCACGTAGGTAAAACAATGAAATTAAAATTAATAAAAAATAAAACAATCTTTTTATTAATTTTAAAGGCACGTAGGTAAAATTTTTTTTTTTTTATTAATTTTAAAGTCATGTAGGTAAAAAAATGAAAGTAAAATTAATAAAAATACAAAATATTTGTATTAATTTTAAAGTCACGTAGGTAGAAAATGAAATTAAAATTAATAAAAATAAAACAATATTTTTATTTATTTTTAAGTCACGTCGGTAAAAAATGAAATAAAAATTAATAAAAATAAAACAATATTTTTATTTATTTTAATTTAATTTTTTATTAATAAAAATAAAACAATATTTTTATTAATTTTAAAGTCATGTTTTACCTACTTGGTGACTTTACCGAAAGAACTACGAGTATCTTCTGAGGTTGTCTCGAGCTCCCTCTAGTGGAGGTCCTTCTGCCAGCAGTGGCACGAGCAAGGAGTTGCAGATCTGCACCTTTGCCTCTTTATGTTCACAGCACTTGGCTGGTGGTTGTGATGGTGGTGGTTGTGGTGGTGGTGGTGGTGGTGGTTGTGGTGGTGGTGGTGGGGTTGTGGTTGTGGTGGTGTTGGTGGTGGTGGTTGTGGTGGTGTTGGTGGTTGTGGTGGTGGTGGTGGTGTTGGTGGTTGTGGTGGTGGTGGTTGTGGTGGTTGTGGTGGTGGTGGTTGTGGTGTTGGTGGTTGTGGTGGTGGTGGTTGTGGTGGTGGTTGTGGTGGTGTTGGTGGTTGTGGTGGTGGTGGTGGTTGTGGTGGGTGGTGGTGGTGGTTGTGGTGGTGGTGGTTGTGGTGGTTGTGGTGGTGGTTGTGGTGGTGGTGGTGGTTGTGGTGGTGGTTGTGATGGTGGTGGTGGTGGTGGTGGTGGTTGTGGTGGTGGTGGTTGTGGTGGTGGTTGTGGTTGTGGTGGTTGTGGTGGTGGTGGTGGTTGTGGTGGTGGTGGTTGTGGTGGTTGTGGTTGTGGTGGTGGTGGTGGTTGTGGTGGTGGTTGTGGTGTGGTTGGTTTGGTGTGTGGTGGTGGTTGTGGTGGTTGTGGTGGTGTGGTTGTGGTGGTTGTGGTGGGGTTGTGGTTGGTGGTGGTTGTGGTGGTGGTGGTGGTGTGGTGGTGTGGTGGTGTGGTGGTTGTGGTGGTTGTGGTGGTGGTGGTGGGTTGTGGTGGTGGTGGTTGTGGTGGTTGTGGTTGTGGTGGGTGGTGGTGGTTTGTGGTGGTGGTTGTGGTGGTGGTGGTTGTGGTGGTGGTGGTTGTGGTGGTGGTTGTGGTGGTGGTGGTTGTGGTGGTTGTGGTGGTGGTGTGGTGGTGGTGGTTGTGGTGGTGGTGGTGGTTGTGGTGGTTGTGGTGGTGGTTGTGGTGGTGTTGTGTGGTGGTTGTGGTGGTTGTGGTGGTGGTGGTGGTGTTGGTTGTGGTGGTGTTGGTGGTTGTGGTGGTTGTGGTGGTGGTTGTAGTGGTTATGTTGGTGGTTGTGGTGGTGGTTGTGGTGTGGTTGTGGTGGTGGTGGGTTGTGGTGGTGGTGGTGGTGGTGGTGGTTGTGGTGGTGGTGGTGTTGGTGGTTGTGGTGGTGGTGGTGGTGGTGGTTGTGGTGGTGGTGGTGGTGGTTGTGGTGGTGGTGGTTGTGGTGGTGGTTGTGGTGGTTGTTGGAAAGTGAATCAAAAACTAGTGTTTGTGCTACATACATATGACTTGGTCGAATTTTCGGTTGAAGCGGAGTAATAGTCGGTGTAACACGTAGCAGGCTTTCGCGACCAACTATATTCACGATCAAGGTGTTTTGTGTTAGATCGCGTGAGTATGAATGTGTAACCTGTTGCGCATGAACTCTCCAACACACCGGTGGGCTGAAGTAACGAATTAACTGACGCGTTTTGTTTACGTGACAAACCTTCCTGGTGGTGGAGGGTTACGGCACTCGATACTTAAGCGAGCTACCCCAGAAACCTTTGTCACGAATAATCAGTCATCGGCGGCAGAAAATCTTGCTTTGTTCACGATACTACGGACTTGGAGAGCTGTTGACACACGCTCCTTGTGTCACGCGTCGTGTTTTGTTTTCTTTCAAAGATTCAAGATCACCTGACGGAAATGTTCAACTCTATGCACTGTCAATTGTTCAAGTTGAACATTTGTAACGTCAGAGTTGACTGTGATGTCGACAAAAAGGAGACTACGATGAGAGTTGCCCAGGAGACGATCGACGCTTTGCAGACCTCAACTCGAGAGAAACAGGTGGGTGCCAGCGGCAGCGCTGCTCATTGACGCGTTTCTATTTCACTCACTCTGTCCGTTGTTGTCGTGTCCTCAAATGTTGCAAACTCAATTTTAACCAACTTATAGTAATAGGTTGTTACCCTTTCGACTGGTACAAAAACTGACACCTTTATGCAAGGCATCATGTTTGCAATAACCACAACACAAGCAGTCAAAATGCAAACAGAAATAAACAACTCTGATGATGATAATGATATGCACTGTCCTTGAAGTTGATTGGTCCACACCCGAGACAGCTTTCCTTAGAGCCTAGTCTCCATTGGTGTTGGACCAGATGACGCCACAAGGCGTACAACTCAAAGACAGCGCACTATCAGAGTATTGAGAGCTCGGGGTGAAGCATTTACATTATGAGACACCTCCTTTACCAGTGGCAAAATATAGTGATAGGTTGTTACCCTTTCGACTGGTACAAAAACTGACACCTTTATACAAGGCATCATGTTTGCAATAACCACAACACAAACAGTCAACATGCAAACATAAAATAAACAACTCTGATACGCCTTTTGGCGTCATCTGGTCCAACACCAGTGGAGACTAGGGTCTAAGAAAAGCTGTCTCGGGTGTGGACCAATCAACTTCAAGGACAGTGCATATCATCAGAGTTATGTTTTTTGTTTGCATTATGACTGCAGGTATTGTGGTCTATGCAAACATGACTCCTTGTAGAAAAGGTGTCAGTTTTGTTGCCAGATAGAAGGGTAAAAAATCAATTATATTTTTACTGGCAAATGAGGTTCTAATGGTATAAATGCTTCACCCCGAGCTCTCAAACTCTGATGGTGCATTGTCTTTGAGTTGTGCGCCTTTTGGCGTCATCTGGTCCAACACCATGTGAGACTAGGCTCTAAGGAAAGCTGTCTCGGGTGTGGACCAATCAACTTCAAGGACAGTGCATACATTATCATCATCAGAGTTGTTTCTTTTACTGGTAGGAACGAAGTGAACCAGCCTACAATAGATTATATCGTCCGTCCATCTGTGCGTCTGATGTTCGATTAGGTGTAGCAACATCGCCCCCTACTGCAAACACTTGGCAGGACCCTACAAAAACCTTTAGACGCAGTGAGGCTTTCCTGGCTAAACAAGTGTAACAATACATTATGTTTATATTCTTTGGTTATTCGTTCCTACCAGCCCACCCCGCAGGGTCCTGTTTTGTTTGCATTTTGACTGCTTGTGTTGCGGTTATTGCAAACATGATGCCTTGTATAAAGGTGTCAGTTTTTGTACCAGTCGAAAGGGTAAAAACCTATCACTATATTTTGCCACTGGTAAAGAAGATGTCTCATAGTGTAAATGCTTCACCCCGAGCTCTCAATTCTCTGATGGTGCGCTGTTTTTGAATTGTGCGCCTTGTGGCATCATCTGGTCCAACACCAATGGAGACTAGGCTCTAAGGAAAGCTGTCTCGGGTGTTGACCAATCAACTTCAAGGACAGTGCATATCATTATCATCATCAGCGTTGTTTCTTTTTGTTTGCATTTTGACTGCTTCTGTTGCGGTTATTGCAAACATGATGCCTTGTATAAAGGTGTCAGTTTTTGTACCAGTTGAAAGGGTAAAAACCTATTACTATATGTTGCCACTGGTAAAGAAGATGTCTCATAGTTTAACCAACTTCCCAATGTCGTATCCACTGCAGACTTGGTATACGTGTGTCGTACTGATGACAATACTATATCATAAAAAAATAAAAAAATATTTTTAAACAATCTTTTTTACACGCTGTGTTTCGGCTTGGGTCTAATTGTCCGCTGCTCAACTCACGCGGGCTGTGAATCACTTCCTGGAGTCGTGGAGTTCTCCCATTACTCGTACCGTACATTTCATTAAAGCGCGTTTTTAAAAAAGTATTTTAAACACGTTCCTTCAGAGTGGGCAGGTAGGAACCTGGTTGGACAGCGCATTCGTGCACGACAGACAAATATGCACGACAGACAGACAAATAATCCCTGGTGGGCAGCAGTGTGGAACCTGTTGTTGCTACCTGTATGAGTGTAGTGTGTCGTGCCGTGTATAGTGTAGTGAGTAGGTTAAACGTTGAGTTTTATAAGGACACCACGGGGTGACCAGCCCCTCCCCACCCCTCCCACCCCCCCCACCCAGCCCCTCCCCACCCAGCCCCACCCCTCCCACCCCCCACCCAGCCCTCCCCCTCCCTCCCCTCCCCACCCTCCCCTCCCCACCCTCCCCTCTCCACCCAGCCCCACCCCTCCCACCCCCCACCCAGCCCCTCCCCTCCCTCCCCTCCCCACCCTCCCTCCCCACCCTCCCCTCTCCACCCAGCCCCACCCCTCCCACCCCCCAGCCAGCCCCTCCCCTCCCTCCCCAAAAAAATAAAATAAAACTAAAACATAATAAAATAATTCTCACGACGTTTCGGCCACAACGCAAGCAGCCGTCTTCAGGTGAAGAACAGGTCTGTCGTTCAGACGCTGTCTTTCCGACAGGTCTGTGTCACCTCAGCGAAGTGTGTGTTTTGTTGTTTCCTTGCAGCTTGAAAAGGAACAACTCGCCGTTCAACTCAAAGACGCGACTAACAGCACACAAGAATTAACGGCGGAGTAAGAACGTTTTTATTTTCCTTGAATTGTATCTTTGTCTTCTGTTTAGGTTCCTCGACTGACGTCGGTGCAACACACAATTGCGTTCGCGAAGGGAGCGCGAGGTCGCACGTCACAATCTACCATTGCATCGAGTGTTAACACAATCACAAAAAGTGTTGTGTCTAAAAAAACAAACTGGTGTAGCAATAGGGGTTTTCCACTTTTCTGGCAACAAAACTGAAATCTTTTTACGACGATTCATGTCACTGCATTAACCACAATACTTGCGGTCAAAATGCAAACAAAAAACACGCCGTGATAATATTATGCATTGTCCTTGAAACTGATTGGTCCACCCCTGAGACAGCTTTCTTTAGAGCCTAGTCTCAATTGGTGCTAGAACAGATGACGCCAAAAGGCGTACAGCTCAAAGACATTTCGATTTAAAGCTTCTTTCGTGACTGCAGGGATTCATCTTCTTGGTTCTTTCGGTAAAGTCACGTAGAAGGGAAGTAATAAAATAATAAAAATTACACATGAGAAATTATTATAATAATATAATGAAATAATGTGATGTAATAAAATAATATGAAAAAATTTTATAATAATAATATAATAAAATAATATAATAAAATAATTTAATAATATTGTTTTTTTTTTCGATTTAAAGCTTTCGTGACTGCAGGGATTCATCTTCTTGGTTCTTTCGGTAAAGTCGTCACGTAGAAGGGAAGTAATAAAATAATAAAACATAATATAAGGCGCTCTTCCCCCCTCCGACCCAGCTTAAATATACGCTGCCAAGCCTGGTGGTGTTTCATTCAGACGCTGTCTTTCCGACAGACCTGTTCTTCACCTGAGGACGGCTGCTTGCGTTGTGGCCCAAACGTCGTTAGAATTATTCTATTATGTTTTATTTTAATGTTTTATTTTAATGAAATAATAAAAATGAAACATAATAAAATATTATGTTTTATTTGTATTATTGTATTACTTCCCTTATTACTTAAAATAATAAAAATAAAACATAATAGAATATTATTATGTTTTATTTTTATTATTTCATTACTTCCCTTATTACTTAAAATAATAAAAATAATAAAATATTATTATGTTTTATTTTTATTATTTCATTACTTCCCTTATTACTTAAAATAATAAAAATAATAAATAATATTTTATTATGTTTTATTTTTATTATTTTATTACTTCCCTTATTACTTAAAATAATAAAAATAAAAATATTTTATTATGTTTTATTTTTATTATTTTATTACTTCCCTTCTACGTGACTTTACCGAAAGAACCAAGAAGCTCAAAGACGAAGCCGCTATCAAAGTAACGAGGGCTCGGGGTGAGCATCTACATCATTAGACCTCCTTTGCCAGTACCAAAATATTATAATAATAATAGGGTTATTCCCTATTATCATTATTATATTTTGGTACTGGCAAATGATGGAAAAAAAACTGGTGGCGTATTTTACTTGGGATGTTGGCTATCAACAACAAGGCAACTCCTACGACTAATTGGGAATGGGACGCAAGCGTAGGATTGATCGCCCTGTCGCTGGCCGCCTTTGGGGAGGGTGTATCGTGCGAAAGGCCGAAACACCCTAGGAACCAAAGGTTCACTACTGATGATCCGCTCCCCAAATGTCACCAGGCTCGCTGTTCGTGAACTCTTGGAAGTGCTTGCACAAAGGATAGTAACATCTCATCCTGTGTTCTTGGGAATCTGGTGCGACTATCAAATCACCACGTACGCACGTACGCCAGTTATGCAAGCGATACGTTTAGTCTGAAGCAACGCGTACGGTGGATATTTGTCTACGGAGGATTTCTGACCTCCGTCCTTGCAATGTGCCTGTGTCCGTAAGAATCACCGCCACCAGGGAAATGTGCGACGGTCTGCAGGTCCAATTCTCTTCGGCGCAACAAACACTAACGAAAGGTACGTTCTCAACATCTGCCGACCGTTGAACGTTAACGGTGTACCGTTGAGCGATCGAACTTTTTTGCCGTTGACTTATTCGGGCCATGTCCGCGTGCTGATGTTGACAGCTGAAGCAGATAAGGAAGAAATGAAAGAATTCCGTTTGTCAGTGAAAGCAGAAGTGAAGGTAAATGTATAATAAGATTTTAAAAATTTTGTTTTCATTTAATTATATTTATTGAAAAGCGTATAATAGTATACACGTATACACATGCATATTTAATATTCATGCTTTAAATCCTGGTGTCATCTTCTTTTAAAGACATTTGCAGTGACTTTGAGTGATTTAATTCAAAGTTTCAAAATGACAAGAACATCGCGTTGGCCAAAGGTAAGCCTTGTTGCAGGATGACACGATGCAGAGCTCGCTAATAATCAGGTCGTGTTCAATACATAGAGCACAGCAATCATCGACTTGTTCTTGGTTCTTTCGGTAAAGTCACGTAGAAGGGAAATAATAAAATGACAGCTGTCTTCCCAACAGACCTGTTCTTCACCTGAGGACGGCTGCTTGCGTTGTGGCCGTAACGTCGTGAGAATTATTGTATTGTGTTTTATTTGTATTATTTATTATTTCCCCTTCTACGTGACTTTACCGAAAGAACCAAGAAGATGAATCCCTGACAGTCACGAAGCTTTACATCGAAATTTTAAGCCACAACCGTCGTTGATAATCATCGGCAGTGCTCTATCCACTGCTAGATGAAGCCGTCATCCCGAGGCCTTGAGAAGCAACACACT